ACCTGATAAAGGTAGCAGAAAGGCGCTGGATGCAGGCCGCTACCAACCGTGCGATGTGGAAGTCATTGGGAGAGGCCTATGTTCAGCAGTGGACTGGACGTACTGTGGCTGAAATGATGATGATGATGATGATGATATATTTTCAAACATTATTTTTCACCTGAAAACCACATTAGTGAAGAAACGGGTAAAAAAAAGTCTTAGAAAACATTTATTTAGTGCATAGCTTTTAAAAAGCGCTTTTACATCTCCCTGTATTACTTTAACGCAGCCTCGGCTTAGGGACAATAAATGAAACCTCAGTTAAGATTGTCAGCCTCATCTTTATGGGTCCCACTACCTCAGGTGGGAAGAGAACCCAAAACCTTTTGCTTGCCTCTGATCACTGAGCTACAGTTTTTGTTACATGAGTATTTTCTTCCACGCTCCGTCAAGCAATCATTGATCAAATCGATTATAATATTGTCTAGAGGGCGGCAATAATAGCAGTAATCAATCGAATCGACATAATTAATTGGAATCGAGTTGTCATATCGATAATTGTTTTGTTACGTTTATTATAGCAACTCGATCGGTTTTCTTTGAGCCCGTTGGAACAAAGAAATATTGTGCCCATTAGACAAAAGAAATCACAATTCATAAGAACTTACGACCTCTTGAGACGCTCGAGTTACGTTTTTATGAAAATACGAGGTTATTTTGTCATCCCATTTTGATTTTTTTTTTACTTACTTATTCTTATTTCATTTCAATTTACAAATATATTATTTTGATGGTTGAGTATACCCTAAGCGAATATCACATGCCGAAATAGTGTTCCATATTACCTAATACAAAACCAAAAATTATTTTTTGACCAATATTTTTTTAGCATTTATGAACTTCAGAAATAATTAAATAACCCTCCTTCTGGTGCAATCGGGTAAAAAGTAAGGTAGCCCTTAAGGAGCACTTTACATGCCTCCTTTTTTTCCAGTATTAGGTAGGATAGGATGTCCTTCATCATCATCATCATCTTTAGTCTTCTCTACATCAGGACCACCCCATATAAATGTACATAAAATATTATAATGTCACTTACACCAGGACCGGTCTTTGTGGAAATCCTTGGGGGAGGCCTTTGTCAGCCTTTGTCCAGCAGTGGACGTCTTTCGGCTGAAACTAACGAACGAACGAACACTTATATCAAATGAATCATGTGCATTATCCACAACAGAAACATACAATTGAACATTAAACACTGAATTGCATACTAAACGTGCTATTCCGAGCACAATAATAGCGTAGCCATGTATCAAGTACTGACGTGCTTTACAGCACAGTAAACGTAAACCAGAACCAAGATATTACATAAACGTAGTATTAACGTTTGGGTACTGATTTTACTATTATATTGCGAAATAGTCGATAATATGGGACTATTACTCAAACTACAGCATAGACTCATGTGTCAGCAGGCTAACTCAAATGCATTTTAACTATAGAAGTCGCCTGTCAAATATTTTTAGTAATTTTTGAACTGATTTACAGTTTTACCGCGGACGAAATGACACTGATTGAGTGTGAGGGTCGAGTTTTTCCAAAAAGTAATAAAACATACCTTAGGTATTTATTTATGAAAATCTCTATTAGTCATTTTACAGTTATATGGTTCCGTTATTAGTCCCGTCGAAAGTTTTTGGTACCGGTATAGTTCTTGCACTCACGGAACTCACGGAAGCGAGTGAGCTTTACTTGTGCGTTGCACGTGTACGTATGTACATGCAAATAACGATAGTTGAATGACTATCAAAACTTTTGACAAACGAACATTAGCGAGTCACCAAACATGTACCTAAAGCTCACTCGCCTACGTGAATTGCAACAACTATAATAGAAACTAGATAATTTAGCAGTTTATTTATTAACTTTGACCTGGAATGATATTACCTATTTAAGAGGAGCCAATGCACGTACAAAATAGAATTAGGTATTCTATTTCTCAGATGCTTTAGGGCTTCTAGATCTACACAGTAAAGGAGAACAACCACTTTCTATGAAGCGTTGGGCCCAGTACTAAGTTATTTGTACAGCTACAAATTTTATGTCGTTTTTATTATTAATATAATACGATTCGCTTTCAAATACTTGTAACGACTTAACGCTTTAAATTAACTGAAACTGAGAATATACGCAATTTTATGAAGAAAAAGCATTTCAATTCGCAACATATCAACACGCCTCTTCGAGTTACGAGCATCGCAGCAACATAATGGCGCCGTATTGCGAGGAACATCACTCATCGTGATTCACAATGATTACCACGACCACTCTGACAAGAGTGTACCGACTGAGCAGAAAAAACAAAAATGGACCTTGCTAAGACGTCATAAGCTCCAATAAACTAGTTTATTATTGTGTTCAATGATATTATATAAAAACAAAAGCAGATATGTTATAAGCGCTCGCGCTGTGAATACTCAAATACGTCCCAATTGGGACGTCTTGTGTTTAGTCTTCGTGTGGCCTGCGTCGTGCGCAATCGCGTGCGTACCACACGGTAAGTTCCTGTGTTCTTACCAAAATAAATAAAAATGCCATCGTGTGAGTTTCGAAAGTGTACCAATTATGACTCTAAAGTAAACAAAATACAAGGGATCTCTTACCACATGTGATTATGCAAAATTATTTAGTATTTATATTTTCAACTAGCTTTCCGCCCGCGGCTTCGCCGAATTTTGTCTGTCACAGAAAAACTTTATCGCGCGCGTCCCTGTTTCAAAAACCGGGATAAAAACTATCCTATGTTCTTTCCCGGGACTCAAACTATCTCTATGCTAAATTTCATCAAAATCGGTTGCGAGGTTTAAGCGGGAAAGCGTAACAGACAGACAGACAGACAGACAGATGACAAAACGAATTATTTTCATTCATTATTTCATTCAATCATTTTAGTTTTGTCATCTGTCAGTACAAACCTTCTTAAAGATCAAATACACTGAATTGTCCCACCCGTGACATTGACAGGGGGCGCCACCGTCAATACCGGATCGCTGGTTCCGATTTTTGCCATGTTAGAAACTATATAGTTGAACGATGGTGGCGCCCCCCTGTCAATGAGTTTGGTGGGACAGTATAGTGTATTGAGTCTTTAATCGATTGACTTTTAACGTTCCATTTTACGTTATCTTAGATTAAATCATTAATTCGTTTTTATTATTGTATACGACTTACGACATCAGTTAAAATTATCATTTTTACCGTAAAATACTCCCTAATGTATGCGTAATATAATATCTAAAACCTACCAATGTACAACTCTGTACAAACTTGGGCCCAAAATGGTTGTTCTCCAAACAGTTGTAATTATTTGACGAGAACAATACCCAAATACAGTTAATTTATTTGGTGTATTGTGTATGTTGCGACAAATAATTACTCGTATTATAATTTGGGTATTATTTGGCTTTCAGTTCACCTATAGAATATCTAAAATATCTATGCAACAATCTAGTATTAGTTTCACTGGATGGAAATAAACTTAAAAATACGCAAAGGAGTTAAACTCTCTACCAAAACTAGTTTCAAATTCACCAAACTTCATGCAGCAGTAATACAAGTAACCACGAACAACTTTCTTTAATTCTAAGGGAAATACCCCGCACGAGTTAGCGGGTAGTTTTGGGCTAAAATCCAGTGTAATTAGAAAACTTTCTGGACACAGACAGGTCACCAACGTGGGTCAAACCTGGACTAATCTAGGATCAGGTTAAATGGATAACACAGGATTTATTTTTGTAACTAGACTTTGTCCGGGCCTCGCCTGAATTTTGGCCGGGCTTAGAAAGAAATCCCCTGGCTAATAAAATGTTACACGTACAACAGTTTGAAATTTAATTTTCATACTAAACGTCACTTTGAACAGTGTTCAAATCGCGTGTAACTTTTATTAGTAGGTACCTATGGGCACAAAAGGGGAACAGTCTTTATTTAACGCGTTCCCCGATCGTAAACACTTTTTATAATGGTAACCACAAGCAATTTAATACATTCTGTCCAATCCAGGTTAAATTAGCTGTAGCCGCGACTTTGTAGCATGAAAATAGTTATTTGTTTCGTTTTTCAAGATTTTTTATTGGTCGTAGCGTGAAGTTACACCTAGGTATAGCCTATATCTATATCCTTCCTCGATAAATGGACTATCTATGACAAAATCATTTTTTGGACCAGAAGCTCTTGAAAATAGCGCGTTCAATCAATCAAACTAAACTCCTCAGCTTTATAATATTAAGCATAGAAGTATAAGATTACGAAACTCCTCATGTTCCAGTCGTCGATTGAAAGAGCCTATCTAAAAAGTTTAAAGTTCCTATCAAACTCAAAAGCCGTGGCATATCTACCTACACCCATAATATTATGGTGCTCGGCCTTCAACTGGTCGGAACAAGTGAATTGCGGCTCAACAGGTGACCTGCTTGAGCTGTCGTTAACTTTCGCCAGGCTATTTGTTATCGCGAACCACAGGTAACAGATTGAGAAGCAATCGTTAAATTGGTTAAAGGATTTGGGAGAGCATATTGGAAAGTGGTGTTCTTCGAGCGTATTGTACACTATAAGTAAATGATTTATTGATATGTGTTGCCTAATGCTTGTCTCGCTCGATACGAGTTCTGATATTAATAATTACCTAATTAAATACTGGTTTAATGCTTCTGTGAGTCAGTGGTTAAATAGCTAGGATTTCTCAAAAAGTTCGGGTACGATTCTCATGTGAGTTACATATAATGTAAAATCACTTTGTGTTTATTTTGAATTTTTTAATTGACGCACCAGGAGATATACCTCATCCTTCCGATGAAGGGAGCTCTACATAACCTATACGGCCCTTGTCCCCATTAAAATGTCCAGCTACCAAAAGTAAACATTTAAACTCCCGCTGGGAATCGCACCCAGGCCAGGATCTATGGGTCTCAGACAGGTGCTCTTACCAGAGGCTCATCAATTTATCTCTATTGTTGCAGAGGAGGTCCTCAAGTCCCGGTCAGCATTATGGATGTCAGCTGACGGCCACATGGTGCTGTACGCCACCTTCAACGATACTCTTGTGCATGAGCAGAAGTTCTCCTGGTACGGCCCCGCTTTGGACACTGATGACCCCTCAAAGGTAAACCTCATCCATCATCATCAGCATTTACACAGAACGTCCACTGATTAACAGTGAAGAGGCCTCGCCCAATGACTTCTAGATTAACCTATTGGAAGTGGTCTGTCCACCTTGTGGTTAAACGTTCCACGGGTCATCATCATCATCATCTGGTCATTTAGTTTCAGGAGCACGACTCTCTCTAATTTCCCAGAGTCATATAGAGGATTGGGCCTACACTAACCCCGCTAGCGGCGAGTGGGGAAGGCCTGATGTTCGTATATTTGTCCCTTAGTCGCCTCTTCCAACCTCCCTAAGAACGGTGAAAGTGGTTCTATTCTACTCGGCAAACATGGCTCATAAGTGTCTAGAATATCTTTAGATTAATTATATTTAAATGTTTTATTTGTTACAGACATATCCAGAGATCAGGAGTGTCAGATACCCGAAGCCTGGCACCAACAATCCCACAGTGACGCTGACGGTGGCTGACATCGCCGACCCCAAACACATCAGGACCAGGCACCTGACACCACCCAAAGTTATCATTGAAGAAGGGTAAGCTTGCACTTTTTATATTTTAAAGGACAATATTGGTCAATTGATAGCTTCTGGAAGTATCTTCTGACTAATGTTGAAAATAATTTTAACCCTAGAACTTTAAATCACAGTCATAGGGATAAATAAATGAAAGTTGCTAAGTTCAAAACTCGAGAACGGCTGGACCAATCTGGCAATTTTTAAGGCACACGGAAGGTTTTTATGAAGAAAAAACTTTCTGAAAGAACGAAATTCATTCGAGCGAAGCCACGGGTATTAGTAATTAACGGGAAGCTAGTTAGTAAATAAAAGGGATTAATTAAGAGAAAAATAAGTCACACCTAACATTATGGGTATAATCGCTTGTAAAACGTGAGGTAGTAAGTCCTATTATTATCATGATACGACGACAAATAAAATGTTATGCAACTTACATCGTTCACTTTTAACACCGCTATTTATTTTTTTCTCCTCAGAAGAGGGCTACATAAATGTAGGTACTATTATTGTCAATCTGAAACTAAAACTGTCAGTGTCGAGTGTAAAATAGAAAGAAAGAAAGAAGAAAGAAAGATACATTTATTACAATGGATATCACACAAATACTGGCAATTACATGGACATGACAGTGGCACATAATAATGGAAGTAGAAAAAAAAAACAAGAGTAAACTGAGCGGTGCCACCCATTGACCAACAAGATGCCCACTGCAACGGGACCCCACTCAGCATATGCCGAGGCCCACGGTGACGAAGGCCACGGCGCTGGTTTTCAGTGTGCCCCATGCCGAGTGAGGGTCACGGACCATTGGTTAAATAAAATAGTAAGCTGCATAATATTTTCTAAACATACATAAATAGTAATATTAGTGCACAGATAAATACAAAAGGCTAAAATAAAATAGTTATCGATATAACTAGAGATTTCATCGTATCCTACCTATTGTGTGGGCATTGTAGAGAGCTCTAGCCGCAGCTATCGAATAACTTGTCAGTAGTTTGGACAAAGATTTAACTGAGTTATAGTGGCGGATCCTAAGGGGATGAATTGACGCGATTAGCTGGCTCAACGGCTGTTGGAGTTTGCTTTGATTTATATTTAGTTTTGATAATAATATTAAGGATTTGCCACTTTTTGTTGATATTTTGTAACCGTTATAGTTTTAACGATTCTGCACTAACTAATCTATGTCCGCAGCGCACGCATCCTTATCGCTCTAACGTCAAAACAAGATCGCTTTCTCTTTCTTAACTTGAACATGGCGCATGGCGTCTTGATTGTTTGCATAAATAATTGAAAATATAAATACTAAATAATTTTGCATAATCACATGTGGTAAGAGATCCCTTGTATTTTGTTTACTTTAGAGTCATAATTGGTACACTTTCGAAACACACACGATGGCATTTTTTATTTATTTTGGTAAGAACACAGGAACTTACGGTGTGGTACGCACGCGATTGCGCACGACGCAGGCCACACGAAGACTAAACACAAGACGTCCCAATTGGGACGTATTTGAGTATTCACAGCTGTTATCACATACTCCGTGATCTTTTTTCTTTGCTTTTGTGTACAATATTTGCCACATATTAATAAAAACTGGTGTTAACACAAGATTACATTACGAACTCACATTTTTAAGACAAAAAGCACTTTAGAACTTAAATTTAGACAAACTGAAAATTTCAAGGTCTAATAGCTGATCAGTAAAATTGTAGTAACTTAATACGTGAAAAGATAATTTTAAAATAAATTCGATGTATCCTCAGTCTTTAGAATCTGAGTGATTAATTAGCATCAATTTATGTGACCGTAATAAATTAAAGAATATAATTATAAATTATAACACTAACATATTAAAGTAATTCACCTTTTGGCTGACTAGTGCGTTTATTCATGAAATAAACAAAGAAAAAAGCCAACCCGAGCCCCGAGCGAACGTTAATAGCCTTAACACGTAGGTATGTCTCTTATTTTATAAATCATTAGTTTATTTGTTGGGAAGTATTTCATAACCACCGCTTTATTTCTTAGCATCGCGATAAAACATTCTATAGGCTCCTAATCAACCAATAGGTATGAAAATTAATACCAAGAAGCAAATTACTTTTATAGGAGAGTTATAAATTTAACTAAAAACACCCATCCATGGTCCGCCTAACTAAAGTTAAAGTTATGTTTTATAATTTTCTATGATTAACGGGACTTTATCAATGTAATAAAAATGAAAATGTAACATATTATTAGAAATATATGGAATTAATTAGACTTAGCTCACTAACACTTATTTAAAAGTTTGTCACACAAAGGCACAACTCCAAATTGGACCACAGTCGCGGGGGCCGGATTCGACAAATATCGGCATGTCTCTGATTCAGCCCTTCTAGCGGGAAGATAGATGAAAGTATGGAAGGGGCACAACATGTAGAACTCTTTAATCTGATCGTTGTTTTCGATTTCTGTGAAAGCCATCTTGTAGAACTGACGAAAATATGCCTCTCTAGTACAAAAAGTAAAAAACCAAAAATTTTGAGTTGTGCCCCTATATTATTAAGGGTGCGATATCTGCTTTTGTTTTTATATAATATCATTGGTACCACTGCTTTGGGATAATAAATAAATGGGACAGTGGGCCAGATACAACAGAATATTTCATTAATGTCATAAATAATTAAAAAATAAATGATAACAGGAGAAAGAACACTATTTCGAATCGGATAGGGTTCTGTTTACCCGACTGCGCCAGAACGAGGGTTATATTTTTACAATTGCTACACCAATAACCAAATTCGTAGTTTGTGGTAAAGTCCTTTCAGCTATACCTAGATATAATAATAAATGTCTCTGCCCCGAATACCGTAACAACCTAAATATTTAGCGAAGCAAACCACTCGATTGCTCAAAATGATTAATGGTACCCTAAGTTTTATAAATGTCTCAAAGATTACATAGAAGATTACCAAAATAAGCAACTCATTTACTGCGACACTTCATTGTTATTTATTTTTGTACTGATATCATTAACGAAGTAAGTTGGGAAAGTTGTTTCCCGGAAAATGATAGTATTAATAACCTTCTGAGTATTTATAGACGTGTAATTGATATTCTTGTACTTGATATGTAGTCGCGTCAATTAGGTACATAATTACAAGAATTAAGCCGTGAAAATCAATTATAATTCAAAATCAAGCATAGGTAGCTGTGATGAAGTCCTGTTAATATTTATTTCAATGGAGTTTAATCATTTTATGTAAACATAAAATTTATTTCCTGGTTTAGTCCCAGTATCCTTACTGGTTGGGTTTCATTGGAGGCCGAACTGTTCCTGGCTATACAGGATTTGAAATACTGTAATGGACATATAAATGCTGGGGTTAGTCCCAACCCAACCCTGGTTATGCAAGAGTGGCAGAAGTGGAAAAGAGAAGTTTTGAAGTCTGTTGATAGTGCTAAAGAAGTAGCAGTGGTGGAAAGAGGTGGAATTAGTCCTGAAAAAGCCTATACATGACTTGCAGCGGAAAACGAAAAGTGGGATTAGTGCCGTTGTATACCTAGTCGAAGTGGTTGTCCCGAAGTGGTGGTAGGGCAAGCTATATTAATTGAGACGTGTATAAGTGCCCTACAAAGGGCCTATGTACTGAATGAACTATTAGAATTTTAATTTTTTTAATTTTGATAGCATCTCAGACATCTTCATTGCAAAATAGCACCAGTTACAACCGCATAAGATATAGATGTCATAGTTTTTAACGTGAATGATGCCGTCTGTACAATACCAATATCCTCTTTTTATTTCACAGTGACTACTATTTCACCAGTGCTCAATGGGTGTCCCTAACAGAGGTATGCGTGGTGTGGCTGACCAGAACTCAAAACCTCTCCGTGGTGTCCGTCTGCAAGAGCCCCATGTGGTACTGTCAGGAGGTAGGACGATTTATCTATCCTTTTCCCGCCCATAGTGACTGGGTGAGAAAAAGATAGCCATTCAAATCAGGCCAGAGTGTTTTCAAGCAAAAAACGTCATCTGCTAGACAAAGGATGGACAAGGATTTGCACAACAACGGTCCTGCGCTGCTCGCATCTAAAGCCTGGTCTGCGAGCACGTATAATTTTGTCCAATGACCCCAAGCTACCCATCTTTATCGCTCGCGCGTAATTATGTTGCTGTCGCGCTCGCACACTCACTGCGGGCGCCCGTTGCACAGTCGCGACAACAATATAATTACGTGATTCGACCTTCACCAGCTCGGCTGGATCGGTTGACATGAACTGAGATTTGCAGAGCTTCACGAGGGTGGTAGTCCATTGTCCACTCTTACACTCGTATTCGCAAACGATGCTTGCTTAAGTGAAGCAGCAAATCGAACGCACAGCGTTGAATAGAGCTATGTGATTGGTTCGTGTGTCACCTTGTGGGTCCACGCGCAATGTTTGTGAATGCGGGCGTTAGCTTCATAACATAATTAGACCCAGGTCATGGTACTGCCAGCGTCAAATAGTTCGTGACACCCAAAGTGGACAACACAACCTTATTTAAATTGCAACAAAAACGTGTTGTGACGAACTAGTTATTTGACGCTGACACCGGATAGACGGTTATTTAGGCCGTTCGATGAACTATGAAAAGTCAAGGTTGGTCAAACACTGCCATAATGAATTGTGAACTGCTATAACCCAGAAAAAAGCTAGATGAAATAAAAAGAGCGCCTAAATAATGAGCTCTTGGCAAGATATAATCTGGGCGATCACGCGAGAAGTAAATCGAAGCCTATATACTTTTATCTTGTAGTTTACCTAGTTACTAAATTAACCTTCTGAATTTCAGTACAGAATGACTTCACAAAATATTTAGGTTACTGGTTACTCGTAATTTTCATAAAGTCAAGTCAATGTTTGAAGACGGGTTTTAAAACTCCCCGCAGATTACATCGATACAGTCGCAATGCGGTCGCCAGTTGTGTGCCCTCGCCCACATAAACGAGCTTTTGTCGCGATGCAAACGCAATACTGTCGCGCTTCTGTCGCGATGCAAACGCGATTCAGTAACCCTCCCTCCGTTCTCTCCCCGATATCGTCAGTCGCGCTGCTGTAGCGCGTTAGTAGCGCGTTGGCATCGCTTCAGATTCTGTAGTGCGTTGCAAATGCGACAAACGCGCGTTTCGTTAACGAGAAACAGCATCACTACAAAAAGTCGCCGTGGGCAAGGACCCTAATCGGTGTAAATGTATGTACTTCCGTACATGTTCATACTGATAATTACTAAGTAATACGAAGCTGTTTCGTCTTTATCTTCTTTAGTGTCGTATCGAACTAAATGTCATAAGGCATTATCTGCCAAATAAACTTTATTGACGTTCAATCTCCACCAGGTATACAGGATATCCTCCGGCAACGACGGCTGGGTGGAATCAGCACCGTCCCCCCTCTGGTCTGCCGGAGGGGGAGCCCTGGTCACGTTAGCCCCCATCAGGGACGGACCAGCAGGCCTGTTCAGGCACATAGTGAGGACTGAACATAATGCACACGGGCCGAGAGCACTACCTCTTACGCATGGCAGCTTTGACGTGGTGAAGCTGCTAGCGTGGGATCATACGAATCAGCACATGTGAGTTGTCCAAATTGTTGTGTCTATAAGGGTGAATTTCCTAGTTATTTATGATTTTCGCTAATCTGAGTAAAGGCCATGAGCTTTTCCTCACGGTGCACTTCTTATTTGATCACTTATTTCCACTTTACTGACTATAGGATACATCATTATCAACTAAATCCTGAAACTATCATTAGACCTGACTAAGATTACTTTAAGAAAAAAATATTTTTAATACGTCACACCTTCGTCCAGAATCAACCTTAATAAATGTGGCCCAATGTATTACCCAGTTTTATGTACGATCTTCTCTCGTAGATACTACCTGGGTATCCCCGAAGGCAAGCCAGGCCAGCAGCACCTGTACAGAGTGTCGTCGGAGCCGCCGCGGCCCGGCTCGCCGCAGAAGCTGCCTTACTGTGTCACGTGTAATTCACAAGTAAGTACACCATTAGAAAAATGTGGTTATCGTACATTATCTCCTAAAAGATTGCAGTTCTGCTATATCAAAAATTTGTACGAGCAGTACAAATGGGTGCCCAGTTTTAGCGGAGGACCTTTAATTGAACGAACTATACAACTTAGCACAACTGTCCGCCGACTCTGAGCGGATCGGTTGCCACATAATGTCAAGTTAGGCCCAGCTTCCACCAAAACAGAGAGGCGAGGAGATGTGTTTGAATAACCAATCAGAGGTTGAAGATTCCGAGTGAAGCTCGCTTTCACCTTCGGCCTGATCATCACGTACCATCAGATAAGGTACAGGCCAAGAGCTTCCTCGTTGTGGTTAAAAAAAGATTTCAGTTGTTTATATCTCCAGATCACCTCTCCACTCTGCTAGGGTTATTCAAACACATATTATCTTCTCCTCTCCGTTTTGGTGGAACCTGGGCCTTAGGCCTTAGAGGCGACCACGAGTGAGTTCGCAAGCGATAACTGCGTAAATTGCACTCAGAAGTTATACGAGTAGAGAGGTAAACAGGAACCAAACAGTTTTCTTAATGGGGATACAGCGTAAACTATTTCTTATCAACGTAACCTACGACAGAGTTGTCCCTCAGTGTTTCGCGTGCATTCTACGAAAAAAGCAGTCCCGGGAAAACACGTAGCTGGTCAGCGACATGTTCCGCAACATGTTGCTCCATTTGTCCCCTAGTGTATTTGTCGTTAAATGTGGTAACGCCAGCTACTTGTAGTCAGGTCTGTCCATTTCAGCCATCATATTTTGAACCTTACCTCTTCATCATACAGTGGTATTCTCCACAGCCATCGCCGTCCATCAACCTAGAGTACTACGGCAGCTTGGCGTCCTCAGGGGACAGTACTTGGGACGCGGACTGGGATGAGGAGCTACCAACCGCCACGTCCCCCTCGCCCTCCAATAAGAAGAGGAAGAAGAAACACCCTGGTACTGTTGCTTATTGTTCTTGTGCTGTACCAGGTTATCACTATTGAGTATTGGGGTATTTCTCATCGCCACGGTTCTCATCGTCACCTTCGTGGCGAATTTTATTTCTAACTTATTTCAACTTTTTTTAAACAAAAATTGTAGCGCTTGATGTGAAGATTGTATTCTCAGTAAATCAGTCAAATAGTGAGTCTCGTTTGGAAGCTTTAACGTTTTGAATTTTTTGATGCCACGAAAGTGATTCTGTACTTCGCAGCAATATTTTTTTCAAACTTTACTACTGTAAGTTTTCAATGGCAAAGTTTCAATTAAATTGTTTAAATTTTAGAGGTAGAAAATATTGTTCAAGCAAGCGACGGTATGTCTATGGATAATCACAAAAAGTTACGTATTTTTTTCGCGAAGCGACGATCGACCTATCTCACCTCCCCAATAGTCGAAGCGCGACTGACGTTAACGGAATAGAACAATGTGATTGGTTGCTGGTGTTCGGTTTAACGGCAATCTTGTACTATTACTCAAAATTTTAGGTACCTAAAATCGTGTGACCAACGTATTTCGCTTTCTCAATTCAAAATAATTATAAGAAGATATTTTTTTTATTATTGTGTGGAAAGTATATTTGATTACGATGATTTTAGTATATGCTACACACAAATCGAATGAAAATTGTGAATGCAGTAACCAAATGTTTCATTGCAACCGAAGGTGTGACACGATGAGAACGCGAAAAATGACCCCGTTTTTTATCGTTTCATGTGATTTTTTCGTATTATTTTTGCTTCTATTACGATAAAATTTATTTTGTATGTAGCTAAATAGATATTTTATCATCTGATTTCAAAGTTATTGTTCTAACTTATACCGTTTATGAACTATTATTGTGTGACCATCAAATTTGAGTGTAAATGAGAAGTACCCATTGAAAGGAAGGCTTTGAAGTCTTTAGTCCTTAGCCTAAAGCTAATCTTTTAACTAAGTAAGGCTAATTGTCAATTTCTGCTAATTAAGAGTTTACTCTAGTTATTTTAGGGACCACCTATGGTCACCAGTAGACTTCCTACTAATGATGATAATACATTTTTATTTTCAACAAAAATATGCAATTATGATTCGATAACAGAATAAAAATTTGTTAGTTTTAACTATTTTTTGAAGGTATTGATAGGCTTTATTGTCTCAGTAAATATGCCTAATTATTCATAATGTGGTTACGATCAAGCAAAGGTAGGCCAAATCCTCTATTTGCCTTAATAAATTAGACTAGATCGTGTTCTTGTGGATGAAACCTAATAATCTCTGATAGTGACGTTGTACAAGCACGTTGATAGAGCAAAAATCTAAGCGGTAGTTTGACGACTATACTAAGACGACATCGTATTTGCCATCATTCTCCAGAGGGCATGCCCCAGAACCTGCCGTGCCTGTACCACGAGGCACACTTCAGTCCCTCGTCAGCATACTTCGTGCTGGAGTGCCTCGGCCCTGGAGTGCCGACCTCTAGCCTCCACAAGAGCGCCCTGCCGGAGCCCAGGGCACTGCTGCACTTAGAGAATAATACTGCTGTTAAGGTAAGTTTAAATATAGTGTAGAGTTTAACCCCCATAGAGCGAAAGCATACAATGCAATGCAGCGGCGGTGCGATGCTGCATCGTCTAACATAAAAATATCTGTAACGGGGACAAAAGCGGTATGGCGCCTCACCACCGCCGCAACACATAGTCATAGTCATAGTCATAGTCATTTATTCCATAAACAATAACATTATCGTATTGGAAATATTACAAAAAACATGAAAAAGTTATACACGCGTTGAACAGTGTAGTTTACAAAAATGTCACTTTAAACAAGTGTTCAACGCGCGTGTATCTTTTATTAGTAAGATAGTAAGCGATACCTATAAATAATTATTACGAATGAACTATGTACGAGTATAAGGCCTGCAAGTAACTATGTATTATCCGAGTAGGTACAAGGGGTCATTTGAAAAGACTGGAACACTGTTGTAAGACTGAATAGAGAACTAACGAGTGCTGAAAAAAACATGACCTCGCTGAAGAAAATTAATATGACGCTGTATTCAGATTTATTCAACAATCGTCTTAATGAAGTGGCATAAAACATTTCACATACGTTATTATGCTACGTTTTTTATAATATGTTTTTTGATAGAGAAATATAATTATCATTAAATTACAATGACGAGAATTGTAGCGCAGTAGCATAGTCAATACTGCGTTACCTATAAATCTAAATGTGCAGTGAACTATGTATTTAGTTTATTTCAAAATTGTCCCTAACCCTAAAAAGCGTGTGAAGTATGAAACAAAACGTTTTCACTTTTTTATTAAAACTTAGATTCCCTTTATTGCCCTGACTAGATAGATATACCCTGTAGGCTTAGGAACGCGCCGCGATAAGCTTTTATTTTGTCGATATCTGGGATTAAATGCCGCGATAAAAGCCATCGATAATTTTTTTTCACGGCACGCATCCTGACCTTGGTTCGTCTTAACCTGGCTCACTATCCTTTTCAACAGGAGCGGCTATCCTCAATAGCGCTGCCCACCCCTCGCACATTCTCCGTGCAGCTGTCCAGCGGGCATGCAGCCAGGGTAAGGCTGCTGCTACCACCAGGGCTCAGGGAAGACGAGGTCACCAAGTACCCCCTGGTGTTGATGGTGTAAGTACTATTTAGATAAGTACGTTTACGAGGGGCGGCTGAAAAGTTTTGAGCCTAGGGTATTAAAAATGCCGATAGAATAGTATAAAAAATATATTTTTCTATTTAATCTCCCTCTACTACAACGCACTTCTTACATTTGTGTAAAAGAGCTTTTAACCCACTGAAAAAAAAAACGCAATCTTTGCCTTCGAAATGATCCTCTAACGCTGCCTTCATTTCTTTGTCACTCAAAAATCTTCGTTCCTGGAGGTCATTTTTCCAATTTGAGAATTAGAAAAAATAGCTAAGGATTCGGACTAAACTGTGTGGTAGGTGATTAATTTCTTGAAATCCAGTTTTACCCGGGGCAAGCCTTGCAACATGCGCGATGTGCACGGGCGAATTGTCTGTCAATAACAGATTTCCTTTCGCCAGTTTGCCTCTTAATATTTCGACAACCACTTGACGCACTTTTATCAACAGTACAGCAAAATAATCCCCGTTTATTGTTGTTTTTTTTAAGTAGGTAGTCAATGAATAAAATTCCTCCACAATCCCAAAAATAGTGCCTATGAGCTTGGGTGTCGATCGCTCCACTTTGAATACCGCGGCGGCGTTTTCCCTTTTCAATCCAATGCATTGACTCTTGTTTTGACTCTGAATCGTACTGCCGGATCTATTATTTATCAATAGTGACAATGTGAGAAAAAAAATTTTTAGGATTATGGCCAAAGATGTCCTAAAACTCCTGCGAAGTTGTGACTCGACGCTGTTTGTCGAATGGCGTGAGCATTTTTGACACCCATCGCGCACACCCCTTTTTCATGTGCAAATAAGTATGAAAAATATCGCCAATACGTTCCTTGCTAATGCCTATGGCTTCAGCTATCTGTCACAGCTTAATTCGCGGATCTCTAGAGCAAGATTCTTTAACTTTTCATTATTTTATTCGTTAATGGCGAAATCTGGCCGCCCTGACTTGCGGTCATCTTTTAGCGACTCCCTGCCATGCTTGAATTATCGGATCCAATCTTTCATGGTGGCAAATGAAGGCCCAGATTCCCCATAAACTGTCGACATCTCTTCAAATATTACCGTCAGCGTTTTGTTCTTCTTTGTGAGGCATTTTATGACAACTGTGTACTTCAATTTCGTACATTGCGCGGATGACTGAGACATGATGATGTTTACGGATTAATTACTAAAAGCGTGATGACGCTAATGAATTGAAACTTTGTACATATACTAAGGAGGTTATTGGCAAATTAATTAAATTTAGTGTGAGTCAATAATAACACTTGAAGATACCTAGGCTCAAAACTTTTCAGCCGCCCCTCGTACTACAGCACATTGTATTTTTCATTTTTGTTGTGAAATCATTCTGATTTCAAGTAGGCTACCTAAATATGTAGAGGAAAAAAAGTGTTGCACATTTTAATTTTACATTTTTGTTGTGTGTGTAAGTACGTAGATATTTTGTCGATATCTAGACAATAGATACTTCAACGTTCGATAGCAAGTATGACACGCCGTTTTGTTACTAAAATATGTACTAGACTATTGTGTCCCATTTGTAGACATTTGACGGGTTAAACTTGGCTAATTTCGAAGTCATTGAGTCATTGATTTGGGTTAGTCGCAAATGGGTTGGGGAAAATAAAATAAAAAATAAAATTGTCCCAAAAAATGCTTGAATTTTGTCAGTAATTTGTAAACGTGCTTTATTAAGAAAAATTACAAATTCAACACTTAAAATCAATTTCATTATTTTATCACTATTAGACAGGACCTAATTTATAAGCTAAAACTTTCTGGTCTAATGGACACAGATGTCTAGGGTTTGCATAAACTTGCAAAACAGTTTTATCAATGCAAAGACGTCGAGAGACTGCAGGGCTACTCTTAACCGTTTACGTATTTTCGGCTCTATCTGTCACTGTCGCTCATTCTGCCAACTCGCTTTCCATGAGAGGGTTGGATATATTCGAAACTTCGCATAACTTTAGTAGGTAGCCCCGCTGTTCAACTTTGGTGGAGATAACAAGTTGCCGTGGAAACTTTCGTGTAGTAAATCTATTATTTAATAGTGAGCAGCAGTTATTATATCAATCTTGATTAAATTTAGCGAATATTTTGTATATTTTAGACTAGCTTTTGCCCTGCGCTCGCGTTAGATTTGATTTTGGTGCCATATAAACTTTGAACCCCCCTTTAGGGGTTGAGTTTTGGAAAATCCTCTCTTAGCACACCTACAACCTACATATCTTAATAGCTAAATTCGTTCAGTAGTTTGATCAGTCAGTCAGTAACGGTTGCTACAGACAGATTCAATTCACGAAGGCGAGTGAGCTTTACATGTGTGGTGGCCCGCTACTGTTAGTTTTTCAAAAGTCTTGATAGACATTACACTTTCGTTATGTGCTTATGTGCATCATGTGCATGTACGCACACGTACACACACAAGTAAAGCTCACTCGCCTTCGTGAGTTGCAAGAACATACTAGTTTGCGATGTTTTCTGAACTAAATTGACTTGCCAAAGTCTCAACTTGTAGCCTGCCTTGTTAAACTAAAGCGTCACAGTCACAGTCCACAAACATAAGTACATATGTGTCATCAAGATATGCATCTTATGTGCTGACAACAAGTGCTATTTTGCATCAAAACTGTTTAGTCTGATGTGCAATTAACATGGCTGAAGGCGCCCAGAGCTTGAAGCGGCAACAAGCGAAAGTTCGCTGGACAACGAGTTCGTTAATCGACGCGAAGTTTCCATGTCTACGATGTTTGTTTATTTTCTACTGAATATTTTAATACAAAGTGTCCACCGGGGCATCGTATGGGTTAAACATTGATGTTAGGTAGACACTACATAATAAATAGCCTGGAATTTTGTGGCATGACATACTTATAGCTGAGCGGTTGCCATTTTTGGTTCTATTCGTTGCACGGTTGCACCTACTTACTTATCTGTGTCATTTTATTTAAGAGCCAAAATAAATGTTTTTCTATTTCTATTTTACAGAGAGTTATCAGACTACATATTCCTTTAAAAAAGCATGTATTACAACTACATAAAATGCCACAGCGTTTACCAGTGTTACTCGTACATCAAATTATGCAAATTTAAAAATCTCTTGCAAGCAAGATCCCCTATAGCAGAGTTTGTTCAAGTCGCCGAGACCTTCCGACCGAAGACTTTATTAATCACTTGGCGGTAGGGATGGGTGGAGTTTTCATTTATTGTCGATGAGATATTTTTATCGATATGAGAAAATTGATAATACAGTGTGANGGAAGCACTGTCGTCGAAAATATTGTTTGTAGGTCAGACGTGAATTATTTCTTGTCCGCCAATATTTAGCTCTCATTGATCGCTACTACAAAGTTATGTCGTTACTTTTGATGACAGCTGTCATTCTAATCAAGCTATATTGGATAGACTATAGTGTGCATGTGCACTCATGGATAATTTAGCGTGTACCGATAACACTCAAACATTAGCGGAATAATGGTGGGGCGCGTATTCGTGACGAAACAATCTATAGGCCTAGGATGCACGCCGCGAATAGCTTTTATCGCGCCATTTTATCGATTTTATCTGATATACCTCGCATTTCGTTGCGGGTCCAATGACAGTTTAACTTTCCCCCGGGACAAACTTGACCTTCATTGGTTGGGTTTTTGTGGCGGTCAAGCTGTAGATCCTGGCTACACAGGAGTTGCAGTGGTGGGAACTAGAGGTGGGAATAGTCCCGAAAAAATAGACCTCGCATTTGCTTACTAGTTGGCGCCACTGTAGAGTGAGGCCACCGTCACTTGTTAGTGACGAAGACAGTGGCGCCAACTACTGAAAGCTGAAGCGGTAGGAGGTACAAGTAAATAGAGGGCGCTAAATATTGGTTAACAACAGTTCGTATGCATAATAATGTTAGACAAGGCTTTTTTTTTTAAAGATTTTTATTTTGTACATAACACCTATGAATAGTTCGTTTTAATTCTAATAAATAATTTTTTGATTGTACAGGACAAGAACAAGCCGCACGACGACTATATGGACGCCTACAAGGAGCTCACCACCAACTGGCTGGCCAAGCTAGGTGAGATTTAAGGCTTGGGCAGACCAAACGCGGGGCAGTAGCAGCGCAGTTTGAATGCGGGCCCGCGCAAGTTGTAATACAAGAAACTCTTTGAAGCGTGTCACATCAAAAGACAATGCCGGAAATTGGCGTCTTTTTTTTCGCGCGGCCATCGACCAAACTTTATTTTTTATTACAAAATAGTGTGATAAACCAAACTTACTATTCAATTTCTGCAATTTCTTACAAAACTTGCGCGCAGAAAGCAAATCTAGTATGTAAAATCATCAAACTTCTAATACTCGTAACTCAGTTCAGACTGAGTTTAGAGGTATACATGTCATAGTAAGTTTGGTTTATCACACTATTTTGTAATAAAAAAATAAGGTTTGGTCGATGGCCGCGCGAAAAAAAAATGACGCCACCTTCCATACAAAATCTGGCATTGCCATTTTAATGTAACTGTTCCTGTTTTGTATAAATAAATACGATAAATGATTAAGTAATAAAGCTTTAAACAATAAATTAACGGCTGACATTATTGTTAATTTAATACAGGATAATCAGTTAAATTATTAATTAAATACTTATTTTAAATTTAGTTTGGGCTGTGTAACATCACCAATAACATTCAACTTTAAATGCGGTTTTTAACATGTAATTACAATGGAAGCTATTGTGAATAATATAGATTTGTTCGTAGTCTTAAGAAATACCTTAAAACCTTTCATGTACAGTGAGGAACTTTATAATCACCTTTAGCAGAAAATGGTACATTTGTCAGAAGAAAACAGTGTTAAGAGCGTTTACGCCGTTTGGCGCAAAAAGAGTAAATAAAAAAAAAAATGATAATAAATATCCTTAGACATTTTACACGGCGCTTCTAGTCCCAAACTAAGCAAAGCTTGTACTATGGGTACTAGACAACGGATATAAACATACTTAAATACTTTTTTTGTTGTAAATACATACTTATTATACATAGAAAACACCCAGTCCAATACAAACAAATATGTTCATGCACACAAATGTTTGTACTGTGCGGGTATCGAACCCGCTACCTCCGGAATAGTAGTCCGTTCCGAACCACTACACCAAACGGCCGACATATTACTTTTTTAACCCGTTACAATCATTAACCAGTTACATTACAAATATGTTATAGGCATAAATAATTAGGCAATTTCGTCGTCTAAATAGTTAGTTGAGATAATATTTCGATTAGTATAGTATTAATTTAAGAATTCTATCAAGATAAGTCCTCACAGGTTTTCAAATTTCCACTTTAGCGTCAGTTTACAAGCTGATTTTTTTATAAAAATACTGTGAAAACGATATAACAAACATTTATATCCTATAGCATAGGTCTTTAGGCAAATAGTTAGTTGAGAAAATTCTTAGATTTAAGCATTTTACAATAAGAAATCACAAATTCAAAGAACGTGAAATACCCAAAACACGTTATTTACGAGGTATGAGTAACTTCATTGTTGTTTTAAAGTCATGTGCTGATAGGAAAGAAAGGGTTTAACAGGTTTTGAGAATAGATAACAATGTCACCTAACGATAAAATCACTTTCTAGTACCGTAATCGAAGCTTTTTCTAAAAAAAAGAACTAAAATACAATTACAAGAAGAGTCAATTTTTAATTTTTTTCGGAATCGTTTAACAGGCTAAGTTGCGGTTTGGAGCAGCTGGAAATAGCTTAGAATATTAATAAATAATGCAGTTATACCGACCTAGGTTGTTTCAAGTCACGATCTAGCAGGTCTTCGGAGAAAATTAGCACTTTATGTCTCGTTTCATACAAAAAAAACACAAATTATTTTTTTTAAGCTAAAGTATCAGGTTTAGAGAAAAATGTGATATGACATGTCGTGATGAGTGAGCAAAGGACTATCGATTGGCAATTTTTAAAATTCGATTTTCCGGAAAAAATCCCTATGTCCACTTTAATGCCATTTCGATCCACCGTGCGGCGCGGGCGCGGGACAGAAGCGACGCGAGCGCGGGCCCGCGCTGTTGTATTACTACGGCGGCCATATTAGCATGACTCACCGAACGCAGGGCGGTAGCAGCGCGTTGAAAGCGGTTTTCGAATATTTAAATTTTTGACAACCGCCCGCGTTGCAACTGCTTTGAAACTGCGCTGCTTTCAGTGTGCCTCAGCCGCGCTGCAACTGACCCGCACTGCTTCTGACCCGCGTTTGGTCTGTGGAAGCCTTTAGAATAGATTAAGGCTAAGCCTAGGCGCAGACCATCGATTTTTTGTCAGCCGATAGTTTAGTCGGCGGGAAGTATAATCAGTATGGGCATGTATGGAAGTGCACACATTACACCGATTTGGTATCGGCCGACTCTTCATACAAATTTGAATTGGGTCCAAATAACGGCTAACTAAAAATCGGTGGTCTGCGCCTAGCCATAATTCTACTGTATACGGGCAGCGCAGGACCGCTCGTCGTGGAAATCGTTGGTAGAAGCCTTTGTCCAGTAGTGTACGTCATTTGGCTGAAACGAACGATCGTCGCGTTGGTTTAATTGCGCGACCCATGACAGTCCGCGCGACCTGTCATTGGCCTATGATCACGCCGACGATGGCGATCTTCACGCGTCATCTTATCATCTGATAATAATAAAGATACCTATTATGATTATGATCTGTCGCCGTCATCGGGCATCTTAAATCCTCGACAGGTTTCTCTTTAGAGCATTTTCCTGAAAATAAAGCTCACTTTACTGTTCTGTTTCAGAGGGCGACAAGTTAGAGCAAGTGTACGAGGAGCTGCTAGAAAAGTTTCCGGGCTACTTGGGCGCGCACGTGGCTTACCTGCACGGGTTGGACGCGCCTTCAGACCCCGCCAAGTAAATACTTTTTTTTAGAATATTTATTTATTTATTTAATAGGACAACCAGCAAACAAATATTTTTTTAACTTAATCTTAGTGCTGCCTTAATTATAGGTTGCTACGGCATGCAAAAGTGGACTAAATATTAAGAATTGGTATTACACAAATTACTATTAGGTCCATTAGTCCATTATTAAGGTAAATATGCTGTCGAGCTGCGCTGCGGCGGGGGTCGAACCCGCGTTCCTCTGATGTCAAGTCGGCCAGTCAGACCCCTTCACTTATCCCTGCTTGTCTTTCGTACAGTCGACTTGATATTGTTATCTATCCTTCTAGCTATATTTGCCTAATCCTACACAATCTCTTTAAACCTTTTGTGATATTCTACTCGTCCGAGAAATAAGGGGGCGTCCATTAATTACGTGCTACTTTTAGGAGGTGGGGGTCTGGCAAAATCTCATGAAATCTCACCAAGGGGGGCGGGGGGGTTTAAAAAAAATAGCCAAAATTGTCTCACGTAATGAATGGACGCCCCCTAAGGCCTACCCACAAAACACCCCATAATAAACCCCCCCTAATAAACTCCTAATATCGACATATTCTTATAGATTACCTCATGCCACTGAAGAACCAGACGTGACGACAGCATGGTGTGAGCAGCTCATTGCCACTTCTGAAAAGGTAAAATAAATAAAATTATTTTTTTGTGATTGATTTACGTATCCGACTGTCGTAACCGACTTAAAAAGAGGAGGTTCTTATAGATGACCCACGCTGAACTGTCCCACCAAACTCAATGACAGGGGGGCGCTACCATCGTTCAACTATATGGTTTCCAACATGGCAAAAATCGGAACCAGCGATCCGGTATTGACGGTGGCGCCCCACTGTCAATGTCATGGATAGGACAGTTCAGTATTTTGGAACTATAACTCGGTATCTTATGTGTATAAACTAATCGTTGGTTATTCTTTGTCCACAGGTTATAAAAGCGATAGATCAAGAAAAATTATTAGCGTATTTGGGAATGAAAAATGACACACGTAGCGACGCAAACAAAATTAAGCAGTAAGTACACTAGCAATTTATTTGAATTTATAATAGTTTTTGTTTTAGAAAACATGTTTGTCATCCAAGCAAGCTATGTAATGTATTTAAAGTTTTATAATTTTACTACATATGTAAGACAGTGGTGCCAACGGGGGCTAATTTGCATTCTCCACTGGCGCCACTGTCGAGCAAGGTTCTATCACTCGCCAGTGGCGCCAAGTGTTGAATGGTAAACGCAGTGCAGTCCTGCTCAAGTGCGTCCCATCCTTAATCTGAATCTGTAGTTGTACAATCGATGGCACACTGAGCTAAAGCACTGTGGCATTTTATAATGACATCTTGCGTTCACCAGTTGGCGCCCCTGTGGTTTTAAGTGATAGGACAGTGGCGTCAACAATATGATATCCTCCATTGTACAAAAGACAGCACATCAGACTACATTTTCGTTGCAAAGTAGTCCTCATTACAACTACATAAGACATCACAGTGTTTAGTTTAACGTGATGTCACTTGTACTTTGCCATAAAAGTGTATAGTGTGATTTAATGTTGACTGTACGTACGCCAAAAAGTTGACAACACAACTTTGTTGATGAACTACACGGAACTGTCCCACCAAAACAGGGGGCGCCACCATTTTTCAACATCAAAATTTCCAACGTGGCAAAAACCGGAATCGGCGATCCGGTATTGACGGTGACATTGACAGGGGGGCGCCCTGTCAATGTCACGGGTGGGACAGTTCGTTGTAGATCATCTATATTTCAATTGTAACAAAGACGTGTCACGAAGTAAATTGATACTTACTGTACACAAGTGTAGACGTGTGTTCTCACCTCATTCACCTTCTCCCAGGGAGCAAGAAAAGCAGAAGGGCTACCTAATCGAGGCGCTGTGCCGGCGCGGGACAGCTTTGTGCCGGCTGCACGCGCTGGCATCGGCGCCCGCCGCGCGCGAGAAACTCGCCGCCGCGCTCGCCGGCAACCTCAACGACCTGCTCAAGTTCACCGACCTCACCGACGCCAAGGTACATTCTACGACCACTCAACCAGAGTAAATACAAATGAGTAGGTCATCTTCATAGAAACGCACGGGCGCGGTTTGTATGTGAGCGCGCCAACACGTATGCGGCGCGCACGCACACACTGACAACATTTAACGGGGATTAGCGGGGAGCCAGTCGTGGTTGCGCCGAATTTTGTCAGTGTGTGCGTGCGCGCCGCGTACGTATATTGGCGCGCTCACATACAAACCGCGCTCGGTGCGTTTCTATGAAGATGACCTACTCATTTGTATTTACTCTGACTCAACCCCGGGACGACTCGACTGGGACTGAGAGAACTCGACCCGAATCGACGGGGTTGAGTTTTCCGGGTTACCGCCGCCAACCACGCCGACCTTTTCAAGTTCACCGACCTCACTGACGCTAAGGTACATAGCCGAGCTGATTCTACGACCGCCAACCCCGGGATGACTTGACTCGGACAAGTCGACCCGGTCAATTCAACCCTACCACAACTCAACCCCTTCGACAACTCGACCCGAGTTGACAGGGTCGAGTTGTGCCTGGGTGCAGTTGTCGTGATACCGCCGCCGCGCTCGCCGGCAACCTTAACGACCTGCTCAAGTTCACCAACCTTACCGACGCCAAGGTACATTCTCATCATCATCATCATCATCTCAGACATGGGACGTCCACGCTGCCGCACAATTTATAAACGCAGTAAGTACCACTTACTGCATTTATGATTGTTTTGAATATTCTGAATCCTGACATCGCGATCTATAAGAATCAAAGACCCGTTTTTTTCTATCTATCTTAGAACGGAAGATACATATTATCATAAACGCAGTAAAGAGCAGATTGTAGGTTTCTTCACATACTATGTTAGCAGTAAGAGCACATAATAACTTAATATTACGTGAATACTCGCGCTTACTTAATTTGCTACACAGTAATAGTGCAGTATGTGCCAATTACATCATTCTTATTATGTTTCTACAATTGTTAAGTTCACCTTGCACATAGTATATGTGCAGTAATTCCACTTAAACACACACTGATATTATGTTTCCATAGGAAAAACAGATGACTTGTACTTAATATTAATGCAGTAATTACAATTATACTGCGTACATACTAAGGATTGTCAGAGTGCTGCCTAGGTGTTAACATGTTATGAACGCAGTGGCTGACTCTTACGTTATTGGAAGAAGTTGAAAACCTGTCCAAATGACAAATCTAGCCGAAGACCCAAGAGCTAGATTGACCCGACACTATACCGAAGATATCCCGGACGTGTCTGTACGAGATTAGAATGGCTCTCAAACAGCTGAAAAACAACAAGGCACCGGGCGATGATGGAATCACGGCTGAGCTTCTGAAATCAGGCGGAACGCCGGTACTAAAGGCTCTTTAGAAGCTATTCGATTCCGTCATCCTTGAGGGAAAAACGCCTACGGCATGGCACAGAAGTGTGGTGATACTCTTCTTCAAAAAAGGCAACAAAACCTTGTTGAAGAATTAATTTTATACCCATCTTTTATTAACAGAATCAGAAGTGTCTGATTCTGTTTTTGAGAGTCATGAATGGTTTCACGCAACATCTAGCCTCCCGAACAAATCGGTTTCCGATAAGGCTATAGTACGATAGACCACATACTTATCTATGGCAGAAAACTGAGGAGAATAATCAGCAACTTTGTCTGGCATTTGTGGTCTATGAGAAAGACTTCTCTCTTCAAGCTACAGTCTCTCCAACGGTGCCAAATTTACTATAGATATAATCGTTGAATGGCTTGTACGAATAGGCCACAATGTCAGTCCGTCTCCGGGATCAGGACTCCAGTTGCAGCGAGGGGTCAGACAGGGAGATGTCATATTTCTAAAACTGTTCACTACCACTCTGGAAGATGTTTTCAAGCTTCTGGACTGGAGCGGATTGGGCATAAATATCATCAACGAGTACATCACCCATCTTTGATTCGCGGACGATATCGTAGTCATGGCTGAGAACGTGGAGGATCTACTTAAGCTCAATCCTCGATTGTCTCAATAGAGCCTCTCAACAAATGGGTCTTTAATGGACAAGACAAAAATCATGTCAAATGCCGTGCTGTACCCACTCCTCTGAAGGTTGGAGACACTATAAGTTGTCTGATGGCCGCTGGGGCAGGAAATTTTGATAAATTATTTTGATTCACACTCCCACTCATAAATGCAGTAAGTTGTGAAGATACGGCGCATATATTACGTTGTAAGAACTACAATTTAAATCAATCATTTAACACATGTACCGTAAGTAACGAAAACTACTGATAAACGCAGTAAGGAACAATCATACTGCATTCATGGGTAGTAAGTATCGAACGAAATCTTAGTTAATCCATAACATAAACAGTTTTTTAATAATTTTAAATACAAAATATTAATTAAAATACAAAAACCTCATATCAAAATAAACTTTGAGTTTAGCTCTATAAGCCCACATATGTATTTTTTTTTACAAATATCTGCGTAACTAATTGTAGACACCCCAAAATAAAATTTCAACTTTGATCGCGTTTTTCTCGAAACTGTTCACGTGTTACTTACTGCGTTTATAAATTGTGCGGCAGCACGGCTGAACATAGGCCTCCCCCAATGCTTTCCATGTTACCCTGTTGGTAGCGGTCTGCGTCCAGCGCTTTCCCGCTACCTTTACGATGTCTTCGGTCCACCTTGGGGGTGGACGTCCTACGCTGCGTTTCTCGGTACGCGTACATTCTACGACCACTCAACCCCGGGACGACTCGACTGGGACAAGTCGACCAGAGTTGTCCGAGACGAGTTGTTTCGGGTCGAGTTGTCCCGAGTTGAGTTGTCCCGGGTAGAGTTATCCCGGGGTCGAGTTGTCCCTTATAAATCCCTAATAATAATACAGTATCAGTATCGTCACTCAACCGCTTCTTTTAAAATTTGAACTTATGGCGCTAGGGTAGGCGCAAGATTCGCTTGTTTGTTCGATGCTGCCAAACAGCGTCCATTGCATTGGTACAACAAGGTGGATGGAAGGATGTCTGTCATCATATTTATTTCTCGAATTGGCTCGTCATCTTTCTCTATTGAACAATCGTTCAATTTTTTTTTCAATGAAAGTTTTGATTAAAACTCATTCTACTTCCTACTAATCCTACTAATATTATAAATGCGAAAGTTTGCATGGATGTCAGGATGTCTGGATGTTTGTTACTCTTTCACGCAAAAACTACTGAATGGCTTTTGATGAAACTACAGTATTATTTATTATAACCCAGAATAACAGGCTATAATTATGACGATATATTGTGACAAACTAAATTTCAACAAAGGTGAAGCAGCAGGCAAAAGCTAGTTTAAAATATAGCCAAAGACAGCACCCGCTAAGCGCGAGGACTATTTCAAAGATAAGTAACTAAACTAGAATAATAGAAAATTCTGGAGTAGTTATGTTATACATTAGAATAACAAACATAGTTAACCCTTAAATGCATAGTGTTGCCATATGTCTACGAAGTACTTTTTTAATTATAGCAAGTAACACATTTTACAAGCGTTTCTGAATGTACGCTAATATCATAGAAAACATCCAAATAAAAATAAAAAAACCGCAAATGGAGGTAGATTTGAAAAAAAAAAATTACCGATATTTGACGTAGCGATCGCGAAGGAGAAAAAATTGGTAGTGTTAAAATTTGTGGTATTTGATTTTCTGATTCAGTGAGAATTAATTGCTAAAACGATTGCAAAAAAATACATACGTGTTAGAAACAATGTAAGAATTCATTATTATAACTTATTTTTTGGTAATCTATCCCGAATGTACCTTCGACTTGGTTTTTGTGTATGTAGCCAAATGTCTACACCATGCGTTTATACCTTAAAATTGTTCGATAGGAATTGTTCTATGGTTTGCTTATTTGGCTTTTCTTTTCAGCATGTTTGGCTCGCTAATTGAAAAGGAAATTGAGACAGCTCTTGCTGCTTTAAATGATGGTGCAGTCTCAGAAGATGATGAAAATTTAGATGATGATAACATCGATTATTACCCAAACGTACGGGATTTATTGCATGATCTGGATGAGGAGTCCATAGATCATAATCTACCCTTGGAACACAACGAAGATCCTCCCTAGTAGTCTATGAAGAGGAGCATAATATTAGATCAGATGGTGTTTCGTGTCATTTCTATTGAGACGAATCTCAATAGAACTGACACGATTATTTGAACTAAACTCTTTTTGAGTAATGCATAAATTCGTTTCGTCTACAATTTTCGAAACAATGTCATCGTTTATGAACTTGATAAAGAACTGAAATGGCTCCTCCAGGTCAGATATTTCTGTGGGCAGTTCCGAATCCCCTAAAAAAGCAATGCGATCATCGTCCCATGGTGGTAAATTTCTTTTTTTCCAAATCATCTCCCGGCTACGTGACCTCCAAGCTGCAATTCCTGGAATACCTAAACTTGATTGCGCAGATGAAGTAGGTACCCGCCACAGGTTCCGCTAAGGAAACACCATCTAATATGTGCTCCTCATCATAGACTATGGGAGGGTCTTCGTTATGTTCCAAGGGTGGATTATGATCTATGGACTCATGCAATAAATCCTGTACGTTTGGGTAATAATCGATGTTATCATCATCTAAATTTTCATCATCTTTTGAGACTGCACCATCATTTAAAGCAGCAAGAGCTGTCTCAATTTCCTTTTCAGATAGCGAGCCAAACATGCTGAAAAGAAAACCCAAATAAGCAAACCATAGAACAATTAATATCGAACAATTTTATGGCATAAACGCATGGTGTAGACATTTGGCTACATACTGTAAATTTTCAAAAATATACTTTTTTTCGTACTAAGATTTTTTTTATTATTTTTCCCCCTATCTGTGACTAAAAATCTAATTGAAATTTTTTTTTCATAACTAAATAAAAAATCATGCATTTAAGGGTTAATGACCAAATTACAACGATAAATGTGAAGTAACTCGGTGTAAAGCATAAA